TGCTTGGCCCGTTTCGGGTCTCTTTTTCCCAAGCCTCCTGTGTTGGGCTCTCGTTCTGCATACAGCCTCGCTTGCTCCGAGTCTTCTCCTCTCCTCCCCCTCCTTGTCTCTTACCTCCTCCTGCATCCTGCTGTATCGCCAATCCTCCTGGGCCGGGCTCTCGTCTTTGACAGAGCACTGCTCGCGCGTCTCTTTCCTTCCCTCTTTCCTTCCTGCCGTCCTTCCTTCCTTCCTTCCTCCCGCCTCCTCCCTCCTCCCGCCTCCTCCGTCCTCATACCTCCTCACTGTCTTCTGCCTGCTGCCTTTCCGACCGGGGCGGTGCCACCTGCGCACTTCTCGCCAGTTCCGTGGGCTGCGGGAAGGCTCGGCGCAGAGGCGCCAGGCGCACACCCAGACTGGACCTCGCGGCCCCCCTGGAAGTGCTGCCGTCTGCGCAACTGTCGCCACGGTTGAAGGCCTCTTGGGTCGGGGGTGGACAGACCTCCTACCCTGACACGTCGATTAAGGAATTGGCGGTTCGCGAGAGGGCGTCGCGGCCGTCATTTTTGCGGGTCCAGGTCCGTCGGTTTCGGTCCCAGGCCGTTTTCACTAAGGGGAGGTTTACTAAGGGGAGGTTTGTCCACCGCCCCTCGGGAGGTCCAGCGAAGCGGTGTCATACGCAAATCCAGACTAGCCCTGAGGTTGTGAACCACAGGCTCCTCCTTGCAGTCGTGGCAGCAGCTGACGGTTGTATTGCTGTGGGGGCCAGCATCACTGGTATGGGGGGAGCTATCTCCTTCTGGCGTGTGGCACAGGCACAGTGCTCGCATGGGCAAGCAATCGCAGTCGACGGTAAAGAGACTAATGGCTGACGTTGTTTCGTTCAAAGCCCCCCTGAGGGGATGCGGACTCATCTCGATCTCAACCCTTCGTTCCGGGAGTGTGGAGGAGCAAGAAAAACATCCAGGCTAGTCCTGAAAGGGCCAACGTGCCTGACCCTGGCAATGGTTTGGATGGCGTCGATACGGTGCCAATTTGCACGCTGGTGTGATAGTGGTGATGATGATGTTGGTGGTGGTGGTGGTGATGCTGATAATGGTAATTATGATGATGCTGATTATGATAATGGTGGTGGTGGTGGTAGTGATGATAGATGGTGATGCTGCTGATAATGATGATGATGACGATGCTGATGCTGATGCTGATGCTGATGATGATGATGCTGCTGATGCTGCTGCTGATGATGATGATGGCGGCGTCGTCGACGACGACGATGGAGATGATGAAGGTGAGGATGCTGCTAGTGCTGATGATGAGGATTAGGATGATGAGGATTATGATGATGCTGATGATAATGCTGATTCTGACGCCGATGATGCCTTTGATGATGATGCTGATGCTGATGCTGCTGATGATGATGCTGATGATGATAATGATGATTAGGATGAGGATGACGATGATTCTGCTGATGCTGCTGCTGATGCTGCTGCTGATGATCATGATGCTGATGGTGATGATGGTGGTGATGATGATGCCATCATCAATCATGATGATTATGCTGATGCTGATGCTGTTGATGATGGTGATGGTGATGGTGATGGTGATGGTGATGATGCTGATGATGCTGCTGATGATGATGATGATGCTGATGATGATGCGTTTGTTTTATCGTGCCTTCTGCTTCACGTCGGCGCATCCTCCTGCTGTGGCCTTGCCCCAGCGGCGGCCGCTCCCATTAACCAGGAAGAGCAACAGCACCCGCCCGCCAACCCTTGAGCCGATGTGAGCCGCGGGTGTAAGGATTGCATACAGGGAGCGGGATCCAGAGCTCAGCGAGTGAGAGCGAGGGCCCCAATAGTGCCCACAAGGGCTTCTCGCCCGCCCTGAGCAAGACCTAAGCTGGCTTCGACACCGCCTCAGGATCCTGATTCTTGCAGAGTCCCCGCTTTCTGTGCAGAGTCCCCGAGTCTTTGAGACCAACACGATCGGCGCAGACTCCCCGAATATATGATACCATGTGCTGTTACTCAAGTTGCCAAGTAAGCATGCTCGTCTGATAGCCCGTGCGTGTGTGTAGATGCATCAACGCATAGGTCCACACTATTTAGCTACAGCGCTGGGTTCGGCGCGTATCAGAGACGCTATCAGTGGCAGCGAGCTTCTGCGCTGCTCAGGGCGATACTGGATGCAAGATACCGCACCGCGGATGGTGCGCGGTCCGCGGTGCGGCGTCTCAGCTGCGCAGTGCCGCGAGCCGCTCAACTTGGGCGCCTTGACAAGGTGCCCGCTAGCTGACACCTAGATGTGCCCGCTGTATCTGTCTCTGTCTCTGTGTCTTCTGCTTCTTTAGTGAGCTGACAACTAGCACCCATACCTATGCGACGCCCTGACTTCTCAGGGTGGAATTCTGTGAAAGGCTATATGGGTGTGTGTGTGTGTTGTTTGATGGGTTTCTCTGCTCGAACGGGAGCTCCTCCCACGGTCCGACAACTCGCGCCTATATCTATAGCGCCCCATTCCCCCTCCATGCACATTAGAGTGCGTAATGTTTTTCATCATCTGTCTCTCGTCCACGTCTCTGTGTCCTCGTCTGACTACCCATCGCATCGGCTTCGCCTCCGCGCGCGTTCGTCTTCTGAGGATTGGCCGCCGCGCTGATGCTGCCTTTTTTCCCTTTCGCCTTGGTGCCTTCGCCACTGAGGATGAGGACCCTCCCCCGTTCTCAATCCCTTAACCACCACCTACTTTTGGGAAAAGTCCCTGCCTCGGCCCCCTCCTGCGCTCTCCCCGCCCCCATGCGGTGGGCTCCTGCCGTGGCGACGTGGCGGCGACCCCGGCGCGGGCGGTCAAGGCTGGACGCCGCCATTGGCCAGGAGTCGGCCGACATCGCACGGTCGACGCTGCCGGAGAGCCTCGCTCGCTCGTGGCGAAGCGATATCTGCGCGGCGTCCGAAACCAACGCCCAAGTCTTCACGACACCGATGATGCCGCAGTCCTCCTCTCCCTCCCAGGGGCACCGTGCTGCCATGAAGGAGGGAAGTGCTCGGCGGGAGAAGGGTCCCGGACCCCTGGGCTTTCCCCAGGATCTTCCCCTTCATGTTTCGGCGGCGAGTGCGGGGGGAAACGAGAAGAGGAGAAGGTGCTCTCAGAAGGCGGCGGGCCTTCTCGGAGGCCCTCGCTCCTTCCGAGAAGTCCTCTGTGTCTTCGGGGAAGGCTCAGAGAACTTCTCAGAAGGCCGGAGGACTTCTGAGCCTTCTGAGAAAGCCCGTCCACCTTCCTTTCTCCTTCTTGGGCGCGCCGCCGATGTCGCCACGAAGGACGATTGCCCTGAGGGAAGCGGGTCCCAGACCCTGGGGTTGCCCAGGACAGTCTTACTTGGCACTGACGCGAATTTTTGCCCATCCAAGCGTGCGGTGCTGCAGGAATGTTGTAGACATACGGCCAGTCGCTCAAAGCACGCGGCAATGACGGACGAATCCGGAGTGATGGATGTCCAGACGATTTGGATCGTTTCATGCATACTCCAGATCCTTCACTAAGCACCCCCCCCTGCCAACCTGTCCGACGCCCCTCGCCCGCCCCCCCCACGCGCCCCAAACGCACCCCCTCTCGCTCCCCCCCACCTCCCCACCCCCCCCGAAGGACAGCAGTTTCCCCCCCCCCCCCCCCCCCCAGGCGATCCACCCCCCCACGCTTATTGAGAGACCTGGAGTATACTGTTTCCTAGTTCGCTGGGTTGCTGTATAAATGTCTCGAGCGGTTTTGTGACGGCCCCTCTGCCCGTGGAGGGCCCGAGAGCGGCGCAGGAGAACTCGGGACCCCTGTCCTTCACGCTGGGCTCTGTCTCTGTCTGTCCCCTGTCCTTCTTCTGCGCCCTCTTTCCCCCCGAGGCTTTCTTTTGAGGGGCCGATCTTCCACCGCCACGACCATAGGTACGAGAGAGAGAAGGAGGAGGAGGAGGAGGAGGAGGAGGAGGAGGAGGAGGAGGAGGAGGAGGAGGAGGAGGAGGGGGAGGAGGAGGAGGAGGAGGAGGAGGAGGAGGAGGAGGAGGAGGAGGAGGAGGAGGAGGAGGAGGAGGAGGGAGGAGGAGGAAGGAGGAGGAGGAGGAGGAGGAGGAGGAGGAGGAGGAGGAGGAGGAGGAGGAGGAGGAGGAGGAGGAGGAGAGAGGAGGAGGAGGAGGAGGTGGAGGAGGAGGAGGAGGAGGAGGAGAGGAGGAGGAGGGAGGAGAGGAGGAGGAGGAGGAGGAGGAGGTGGAGGAGGAGGAGGAGGAGGAGGAGTTGGAGGAGGAGGTGGAGGAGGAGGAGGAGGAGGAGGAGGAGGAGGAGGAGGGAGGAGGACCTCCCCATCCTTCTCCCCCGTCCTACCTATGGTACTGGTGGTGTGGAAAACTGGCCCATCCCTTTTCCCCCCGAGTCTTTTTCCTCTTCCTCGGCAGACTGGCGAGCCGGTGCCGCGCTTCAAGGAGCCCGCACGCCCCGGCCTTCTCGCGCGCGCGCACTCCTGCAGGCAGGCTGTCCGGGGCTCCACCAGAGGAGGAGGAGTGCACACGGGAGGGAGGAGGAAGAGGAGGAGGGGGAGGACAGGAGTGAATCCAGGATTCCCCAACGAAGCTGCAATGCACCCTCCCGTCCCAATCGGCGTCACCCCAACATACTTATACTATATGTGCGTCGCCCCCCCAGGGGCGACGCGCGCACCGAGAAATCTTATCGTATATGCGTCGTGGCGGGTGCTTTCTGGCCACACCGCTCGGGAAACGACATACTACAAGATGGGTATACCATATGTTCGGGTCGGACGCGCGCCTCCAAGGAGGACATCTGGTATTAGTATGTCCCTGTGCTTCCCGTCCCGAGTCTCTTCCCCACTGGCTCCAACAGGCGTAGCTGTTCACTGCAAGGAGCATCCCCTTGAAGACGACCGCCCGCCACGCCCCCCCATGGGCCTGCCGTTCAGGCGAGAGGGCCCCCGTTCGACAAGCAACAGCCTCGCATATCCTCCTGGGCGAATAAGTTCAGGAGCGAAAGAAGGACGTACACGTACATGAATCCACGCTGGTTTCGAGAGTACGCATTGCGCAAATGTTTGTATAACGCGGCCGGTCTCGCGGATCGAGGGGCCGTGTTCATGTACATAGCTGGGCGCGTACGTCCTTTGTGGGCTCCCTATAATTAGGAATGCGTCCAGCGAGGACCGTGCAGTGCAGCCAGGCGTCCAGCGAAGTCCCCATTTTGAAAAGGGCCGCCATCATCTCTGTGTATTCGTTGCGCCAGTGTACAGTTTCGGCCATGAGCTTCGAGGACGTTTCACGCCAGAGCTCCATGCTGAAAAGGAGCCGCCCTCCACCCGACCAACTTCTACATATGCTCAAGCTTCTGGTCTGTAGAGTTGTCAGGGGATCTGGAACGAGGGGCTCGTTTTAAAAGGGACCGCCCTTTGTCCCTGTAACCGTTGCAAACTTTGAAGTAGAATATTCGCAGTCTTAGGGCGACGCCCCCCTTTTGAAAAGGAGCCGCCCTTAATCCTTGTAGTTGTCGCGCATGTTATGGCGATTGTGCGCGGCGCTAAGGCGCGAGCTCCATTTTCATAACGATCCTTTTCATTCTTATAGCTGTTGCAAGCTTTTGAAACGAATGTGCGCAGCGCTGAGGCGAGAGCACAATTTTGACACCCACCTGCCCACTCCATCCTTGCATCTGTTGCACATCTCATCCTTCAGTATCGTAGTTGGTCAGGAGGTCTCAGGCGAAACGCCTGGTCCGCCCTACCAACGCGTCTGGGAGTGCCACATAAAGGAGTTATCTTAAAGGCACAGGGATGGAGGAAGAGGAGGGGGAGGGCGGATGATGAGGAGGATGACGCGGACGGGCGGGTGTAGACTATGATGGTGAGGAGGAGGGTTACGGCTTGCGCCTGTCGTAATCATCATCGTTGCGGGCGCCACCGCCGCTGTCGTCGCTGTCGCCGCCGCCGTCTCCGTGATCGGTGCCGCGGCCACCCGCACTTGCCGCCGCCGTCGTCGCTGCCGCCGCCGCCGTCATCGTCGTCGTCGGCGTCGTCGTCGTCGTCGTCGCTGTTGAATTGTCATTTCTAGAGAGTTCTTGTTGTTGATCCGTTCACTCCGGGGCACGTGGGTTTTTTCAATTAAAGTGCTCTTCCCGGGGCTCGCTCCTTGTTTTTTACAAGGTAAAGCGAGGGGTCACCAAATTGGGCTTCGGTTTACAACAACAGCGGCTCCCGCCTGATACTTCCTCTCAATTGATTCCGAAATCGCGGTCTCGCACGGTACTTCCTCGCAAGTTATACAGGAATCGAGTTGTCGCGTGGGACCTCCTCGCAATTTATATAGTCGCCGCGCCCTCGTCACTCGGGAATCGTGCTCTCGCTTTGGCCTTTTTCATGGTTTCCTTCGGAATCGCGCTATCGCTCGAGCTCTCCTCGCGATTCACGCAATATTCACGCTTCAGCAACACGCCTGCTCGACCTGGCCTCGGGCCTGCCTTCCCGACCCGCCTGTTAGGCTGTACCTGGTTCTGCCACGTGTTTTCTGCTCCTGGCCCCCTCTCCTGCTAATCCCGTGCTCCATCCTTTATCTTCCCCTTCCATTAGGCTTCTCTTCCCCTGCCTTCGTGGCTGCACCAATTACCGAAAGCGCGCCACTGGATCACGGTGTAATTGACAAGGGGGTGGGGGGGTCCGAACCCCCCCCTCCCCTCCCTCAAAGAGGGGGGGAGATTTTCGACCCCCCCTTCCCTCCATCCCCCCCTGAAGGGGGGGGGGTCGGACCCCCCCCCCCTCTTGAAGGGGTGGGGGGTCCAGACCCCCCACCTCCCTTCCCCCCTTGGCGATGGAAAGGTGGGGGGGGTTCGAACCCCTCCCCCCCCCTGCCCCCCTTTGCGCCGAACAGGGTGCCGGGCAGGGGGCCTCTCCCGCAAGAGGGGGGCGCCTGGCCTCGGGATAGTGAGTGGTGAGTGGTGAGTAGTGCTTAGGGAGTAGTGAGAAGTGAGTAGTGAGTAGTGAGTAGTGAGTAGTGCATAGTGAGTAGTGAGTAGATAGTAGCGAGTAGCGAGTAGTGAGGAGTGAGTAGTAAGTAGTGGGTAGAGAGTAGTGTGCAGTGAGTCGTGAGTAGTGAATAGTGACTAGTGAGTAGTGAGTAGTGAGTAGTGGGTAGTGGGTAGTGGGGATTGTGTCGTGAGTAGTGAGTAGCGAGCAGGGAGTAGCGAGTCGCGAATAATGAGCAGCGAGTAGAGCATTGTGAGTAGTGAGTAGTGAGGAGAGAGTAGTCAGTAGTGAGTAGCGAGTAGGTAGTAGTGCGTATCGGGTAGGGAGCAGTGAGTAGTTAGTAGTGAGTAGTGAGTAGTGAGTAGTGAGTAGTGAGTAGGCAGTAGTGAGTAGAGAGTAGGGAGTAGTGAGTAGTGAGTAGTGAGAAGTGAGAAGTGGGTATTGGGTGGTGGACAGTGAGTAGGGAGTAGCGACTAGAGAGGAGTGAGTCGTGAGTAGTGAGTAGTGAGCACTGAGTAGTGAGTAGTGAGTAGTGAGTAGCGCCTTGCGACTAGTGACTAGTAAGTAGGGAGTAGGGAGTGGGGAATAGTGAATAGTGACTTGTGCGTAGTGGGCAGTGAATATTTCGTATCGGGTAGCGAGTAGCGAGCAGAGAGTAGCGAGTAGTGAGTAGTGAGTCGTGAGCAGTGAGTACTGTATAGGGAGTAGGGAACAGCGAGTGGCAAGCAGCGGATAGTGAGTAGTGGGTTGCGGGCAGTGCGTAGTGAGTAGTGAATTGTGAGTACTCAGTAGTGAGTAGTGGATAGTGGGTAGTGAGTAGTGCTTAGTGAGTAGTGAGTAGTGGGCAGTGAGTTTTTTTTTTTGTTGTTGTTGTTTCGTTTTTGTTTTGAGACGTGAGTATTGCGTACTGGGTATCGAGTAGTGAAGTGAGTAATGAGTTGGGAGTAGCGAGTAGGGAGTAGGGAGTAGTGAGTAGTGACTAGTGGGGGCGTAGTGAGTAGTGAGTAGTGGGTAGTGAATAGTGCGCATTGGGTAGCGAGTAGGGTGTAGGGAGTAGCGAGTAGTAAATAGTGAGTAGTGAGTACTCTGTAGGGAGTAGCGAGTAGCGAGTAGTGGATAGTGAGTCGTGAGTTGTGGGCACTGAGTAGTGCGTAGTTCAGTGTGAGTAATGAGTAGTGAGTCGTGGATAGTGGTTAGTGGGTTGTGAGTAGTGATTTGTGATTACCGAGTAGTGGGTCGTGAGCTATGTTTAGTGAGTAGTGAGTATTGCGTAGTGAGTTGTGTTTAGCGTGTGGTGAGTAGTGAGTAGCTAGTACTGAGTTTTGATTGGCGAATAGGGAGTAGAGAGTAGTGACTATTGGGTAGAGGGTAGTGAGTAGTGGGTAGTGAGTTTGTTTCGTGAGTAGTGAGTAGTGAGTAGTGAGTAGTGAGAAGTGAGTAGTGAGTAGCGAGTAGTGAGTAGTGGGTAGTGAGTAGTGCGTAATGAGTCGTGAGTACTGTTTGGGGCTAGGGTTAGGATTTGGGGTTAGGGTTAAGGGTTAGGGTAAGGTTTTAGTGTTAGGGGTGGTCGGGGTCGGGTTCCCGAGTTGGGGGGCGCCGTGGCGAAAGGGGAGGAGGGGGGGGGTCAAAATTGGCGGCCAAAGGGGGGGACAGGGGGGGGCGGTCGGACCCCCTCTCTTTTTTGAAAGGGGGGATGGGGGGTGGGGGTGGGGGGGAAGGGGGGGGGCTTCCCCGACAGCGGATCGGGAAAAGGGAGGGGGGGGGTCCCCGACGACGGATCGGGGAAGGGGGGGGTGGGGGAGGGGGGTTCCCAACCCTCCCGTTTTGGGGAGATCCAGCGGCGCGCCCTCCCAATTACGCGCGGCGGGTAAGGAAGATATGCCGCCAGAGGGGGTTCGATCGAAGACAAAGAAGGCGGGTAGGTACCAAGGGTTTGGGATTTACGGGTTGAATAGCACGCGAGCATGTGAGAACGAACAGTGTAAAAATGATTGTTGCTGTTGTTGCTGCTGCTGCTGCTGTTGTTGTTGTTGTTGTTGTTGAGCTTGTAATGCCCCCCCACGAAGTGGGGGTATTGCCTGGTGTCGTATGAAAACCCTGGCACTGGGGAGAACACCACGCGTTCGGGTAAAATGATTGTTGTTGTTGTTGTTGTTGTTGATGTTGGTGTTATTGTTGGTACTTCCCCAATTAGAGCTTGCCTTTTGTAGGGGTCCCAGCGGATTTAGGGGTAGGTGAGGTGTGCCGCCGATTCGGTGGCCGGGCCCGGGTGCCGGGGTGCCCGGGTACCCGGGTGCCCGGGTGCCCGGGTGCCCGGGTGCCCGGGTTCGCCGCCGATTCGGTGGCCGGGCCCGGCTGCCCTGGTGCCCGGGTGCCCGGGTGCCCGGGTTCGCCGCCGATTCGGTGACCGCGGCCCCGGTGCCCCGATGCCCGGGTGCCCGGGTGCCCGGGTGACGGGTGCCCGGTGCCCGGGTGGGTGCCCGGGTGCCGGGTGCCGGGTGCCCGGGAGCCTGGTGCCCTATAGCCCTATAGCCTTATAGCTCTATATCCCTATCGCCCTATAGCCCTATATAGCCCTATAGCCCTATAGCCCATATAGCCATATAGCCACATAGCCCATATAGCGCCCAAGAGCCAATATAGCCCTGTAGCCCTATAGCCCTACAGCCCTAAAAAGATTATGATAAGGTTTCTCTCTGGTATCATGTTGCTTGTGTTTTTGTTGGATTTCATTTTCTGACGCATAATTATGACTGATCCTCGCTCAGGTAACCGTTGTAGTTCTTCAGTTGCAGTGCTTCTCCCGGGGCACGCACCCTGTTTCTTACAATGGAAAGTGTGGGGTCACCAAACTGGGCTCCTGGGCCTCGTTTTAGCACCATGTATTCCCAGATCGCGCTCTCGCGGGATTCCTCACAATTTATACAGAAATCGCGCTGTAGCGTGGGACTTCTTCGCAATGTATTCAGACGCCGCGGCTCCGACATTCAAGAATCGCGCTCTCCCTGGTGATTCTAAA